TCTCTTGACGCACTGGACAGACATTTTGCAATCCTTCATACTTCATTAATTACAAATATAATGGAGTGTTATTCACAGTATTTCTTCCTATAGAACAATGAATTTTTTCTGAATGTGCTGATCACCCGTAGAAACCACTTGGGTCTCTGTGCTTGTCTCTTGTGCCATGGCGGGCCTGCCCCTCACTCACGTGCTTCCAAGTTCACTTCTTGGAAGGTGGTCTGAGAATATCTGACCTGGTGGCCTTCCTCTGATTGATAGCTCACCAACACCCAGCTGGTTCAGGGCTCACACAGAGCACTGAAGAGTACAGATCTCAGGTCTTTGAGACCCTCCACCTCAGGACACAGAAGATAACTTCTCAGTCACAGATGGTTGTTCTGAATCCTGCTCAGAGCAACCAAACAGCTGAGATCGCTCCCTATGAGCCCAGGAGGCAGAAGAAGAGAAGGAGTATCGAGAGTCTGAACCCTCGAACTAGAATATTTCTGTTTGCTTGCAAGTCAGCTGCACTGCTTTCAATTAAAAATATTTTGAACTTTCTTCGATCTATTTGCCAAAATAACTCTTAGTTTGCTGAGATATTGTCATTTTTAATGGTGAACAACATACAGCTACACATCCAGTCATGCCTGGATAAGCATGCATACTAACAAGTAATACATATGTGTGTATTATTTATACAGTTAATGAACTCATATAAAATTATTACAGCCTACTTCTGTCTCCCCTGGATAAGCAAGTTCTCTGTATCTCATTTTCTCCCAGGGGAAAAGGGATTTATTTCCCCAGATCTTCAACATTCCTCAACATCTTCCATCTCCACATTCCATCCATCATGCAGAGCTTATTCCTGAGATTAGTGTGGGGCTTCCATGATTCATAAGTACTCATCGTAAAAGAGAGTTCAGATTCTTTAGTGATCTGTAACCCTGGCTGTGTATCAGTTTCTACAAACACAGATCCCCATACTCCTGTGTATATCAGAAGCCTTCCTGTGGCCCAAAAGGAGTCCAGAGCACGTAACAGACAGAGCTGATCCCTTAGAAAACCAGGGACACAGAACTGGAGTTAGTTACCTGCTGCCTTTGTAATGCCAAAAAAAGAAAAAAAAAAAAAAGAAGAAAAAAAAAAAAAAAGAATGACATATTTTGACTAGATTTCTTCTATTCTAATCCATCTTGTTTCTCAAATTCCTTTCCTAAATGAAGTACAATCTAGTGAATACAACTACACTGCATATTATAGAGCTGGGTCAGATAAACATCTGTTGAGGTAGCTAAGCTTACAGTCTTTTTGTCTCACCAGCTAAAAGAAATACTTCTCCTTTTGGTTATAATCTTTCAAAACTTCTTTAAAAGCTCTGGGAAAATGTCCATACTACCTATGCTTTAGTAATCCTTCTTTTAAAAAGGAGATGACTGTTTGTGATAACGTAAGAAATTACGTAAATAAGCAATACTACATCTAAGCATACCATAGCAGATTAACAACGTACCTTCTATCTCACCTCAGACAACTCTTACACACTGGTAAACAAAAAACTTCACACATAATCTTAAGATTTTCATTGTATGTTACGTAACCCTGTAGTGTTCAATAAATCAAGGCCATCTTAAACTCTACTGGCAAAAGTAGCTTACAGGAATAAGAAGACATCAAGGCCATTAAGCACACAGATACAACAGCTAACTCAAGGAGTATTTCACCACATGCCAGCCTGTGGTGTCACCTGGGCACAGTCTGAGCACCCTTGTGTGTTTTTGCACCCTTTTCCTACCACCTGATTATAACCTGGCTACAATCCTTACTTTCTTATGATCTTTTATGTAAATTCCAATAAAATAACGTGTTTAGAAACGTACTTATTTTTCCTTATTGAGCCATGTCTATTACTTTTAAGAAAGAGGCTAAAATGAATACTGTGTCACGCAACAGAACTGGTGCGGAACACAACTTAAATTCAAACTCGTCTACAGTCTTTCCACAATTTATCAGCTGTTCAATACTTCTTGAGCATATGCAGCCCGCTGCCCTGCTAAAACCAGCACACAACAATAGCAGGAAGTCTTCAGAGAGCACTGGCTATCAAATTCTCAAGCCAGCTGCAGGAGCCCAGGCAGGAACTATAGCAGTTCCAGGATAGCTCAGCGAGGAGCAAACTCTGGGCCAGGTCACTGGTGCAGCTGCAGAGCAAGGGCTGCGCTGCTTCCCAAGAGTCGCCTCGCTCCCCTCCCTGTTGTGGCCCCAGCACAGCCTGCCGGGACAGCACATCACACGTGGCAGCCAGCCCACTGGCTCACACATTTCTTCCCTACTTCCAACACTCAGCTCAGCTGCAGCCCCCTCCCTGCACCTTTAAATACAGAATGAAATAAAAGCTGTAGAACCTTGCCTCACTCTTAGCCTACGAGAATTTGACAGGTAACAGTGGTGGAGAGCAAGAATTTAAAGGAGGCCAAAGAGTCAAGCTCTGGACACGAGAAAGTGAAACAGAGGCAATGGTGAAAAAGACAGACTGACCAGCTGTAGTGCTGTGGATAACATGAAAAGAAAAAAAAAGGGATTAACCTTAGCTCTTTAACCTTCTCCCCCACAGTCATTCACTAGCATGGGAGAGCAACCAAAAAAGGGTCCCTTTACTAGTGTACGCCTAAGAGAGATTGCCTGGAGACGTACAAAGAATTTGGAGCATTCAAAGTCTCTTTGCCTGAAGTCTAACTTCCACTTGGCAATTTAAGCCAGGGCTTCCTAATGACTCTGGTTTACACAAGTTCCTCTGTTTTCCACAGATCAATCAGTTACCGTTTGGAACGCGCAACGCACAGTATGTGCATTGGGAAGCACGGAGCATCCAGGTGGGCCTTCAGTGAACAAACGGGCTTGAACTAACACATGCTGGAATTCAAGAAATAACAGCACTTCTCCTGGATTAAATGCTTCTGAGTCCTGGCATTTTAATTAAGGCACCTCCGCATTCAGAGTAGTTATCACCAGCATTTATCTTCAGGCTGCATCCCTCTGGATCTGTCTTGTAAATAGTTTTCCCAAACCTATTAATCTGTCACCATTTCCTCCCTTACTTCTCAGTCATGCAGTCTTCTCTCTCTGTTGCTTTTATCCCCAAAGTAGAACAACATCAAAAAAAAAAAAAAAAAAAAAAAAAAAAAACCAACCCAAAAAAACCCACATTCTACAGGTTTCAGAACAGCAGACTGAGAAAATAAAGATGAAGTATAAGCAAATTTACTTTTTCCTATAGAAGGTTCCTAAACCAAAGTAGGCAGATTGTCAGAATTATTTCCGCCTGACAAGCTGATGAACAAAGTGGATTCCTTACAACATGCCTACTGATTGTTACCTGTATTTACACAGTAAACACTCTGCAATGGAGGATCAACATAATTAAAGTGAGGTATTGCTACTTCTTCCTTTATTTTTATTCCACTTAGCATAAAGGCAACCCCTGCAGCCTCCAAGAGCCAACACAGTACCCCAGCTCCCCCAGAATCCACTTCTCCCATTCCTCTGACCGCTGACTGAGTCATTTTGCAGCATAACGTTCCCTTTGTAAAGCACTGGTTCCCAAACCACGGTCCTCAGAAAGCTGGCTGGCTACATGCTGCTGGCACTGGTCCTCACTTCCAACTGCTGCATGGCTTTAAAGACAACCAGGATGCATTATGCGCCTTCCCAGTACTAATTACCCATGTTAGATGCTACTTTACTTGCTGCAGGGCAACTGTGTTCTTGTGAACAAGTGAGTAGATGTTTCAAAACAACTCTAGGGTTGTCCACACCGGGGCCCCCCCCCCCCCCACAGGAAAAACCATGGGAAGCCTTGCTCTAGATGCTGTATCTGTCCTCCGTGCAAATCTCACTTATCCAGCAAGTCTGGAACTAGAGCGAGACCAGGAATTATCTCCAGTTTTACCATATGGAGATGAAGACACCAGGCCAGTTGCTTGCTTTATTTAAACATGTGTTTCTTTTACCAGCAGTATTAACATTGCTTTGTTCCTGTTTATATTTAAAGAAATGAGAAAATAAACTAAGTAACTTTTTTCCTCTCATTCCATTTTTGTTCTTTTAAGACTTCTCTGTTCCTGTCAGAGTGAGTTAAGCTAAACAGAAACAAGGCATTCTTGTTACAGAGTAAATGTGTCCACATTTGGAGTTCTTTGGGAACTATTCCTACAGCTCAAATTCCTGTTGCCGTCAGCCCCTCTCCTTAAATCTTAGTAGCTTTCTCATGTAAAAAGCCCTGAGGTTGGATTGTTTGCTTAATGGAACATGGTAACACACAAACTACCAAAGGCAGCAAGTTACACAATACCCGTCCACTGCTCTTACCACTGCCCCTATTTCAGGGGCTTCAGAGAAAAGTTTCCATACTTTTGCAAAGAGGTGGCTGCATTATGATAAGAGGGATTCCATGGCCCTGAGGATCCTAAGAGTTCCGAGCCCTTGCATTCATCCACATGTGAGGCATTGTGGAACCATCCCATACATTCAGTGCAACCCCCAGAGGGAATCTGCATTAAGGTGAAGCTCAGTGTGACCAACAAGCCAACGTGCAGCTGCAGTCTGTGCGAGGACACCTCACACCTACACTTCTCTAGCATGCAGCCCTCCTCAAAGTCAGGACAAAATCTAACAGCAAATCCTTAGCTGATCGCTTTGGAGTACCAGCAACATTACTTGACAACTAGCACACATGTTAGCAACGCAGTAAATGTACACGTATCACAACACTCTGCTAGGGCAGCTCACAGTGCTGAATTCTTACTGGCTCTCAGAGCGCAAGTTTTATCTCGCTACTTCAAACATATAAGAAAGTCCACTTCACTCAAGGTTTTTAAGCAAATCGGAAAGCCACTGTTCTGCCTACAGGGTAAGGCAGAGGCATACCTGACAGGGTTCCACCCAAGAGACCCGGGTTCTTTTCAAGAGGAATGGCGTTTAAGCCTGTGAGTTGAAGGACGAAGCAGTAAACTTACTTTCCAGTGATAAACTGGCTTCTGGATGGTGTGCACATAGGCTGAACATAATAGTTCTCCAGTTTAACCCCTTCAGCAGCTAGCTTGTCCAGAGTGGGCGTCCTGATCTCCGAGCCGTGGTACCCTACATCTCTGAAGCCCTGATCGTCAGCCAGGATGAAGATGATGTGCGGCTGCGAGCTGGGGGTGCCGACCCCCGGCTCTTCTCCCAGCGCTGCCGGCGCCTCTCCGGGGCCGCGTCCGAGGCTGTCCCAGGACAGGTAGCCGTAGGTGAGGAGGCTGAGCACCGAGAGGCCGGCCAGCACCCCCACCGCCAGCATTTTCCCCTTGCGGAGCCGCTGAGGCCAGCTACACCCACCGCGGGCCATTCACCTTGGCTGGAGCGAGAGCGAGACGGAGGAGAAAAATAATAACAAAAAGAAAAACACACACAAAAAAAAGCCACCCGAGACCAAACCCAGCAGCCTGCGAGGCGGGGGCAGCAGCCATCAGGGGCCCCGCCGGGCGGGGAAGCGGAGAGAAGCCGCGCTCATCGCGGCCACCACCAACTTCGACAACTCCAGCCGCTGCCGCGGGAAAGGCGGCTTGGGCCGCCCTGCCCGGCGCCGGTACCGGTGCCGGCCGGGTGGGCAGGGCCGCGCCGGGGGTCACAGCACCCTCGGCCCGCCTCCGGCCCCGCGCCGG